GCTCCCAGGCAGCCTCCAGGGTCCTGGGAACAATCACAAAGTAAGAAGAGTCCTTGTGTGTGCCCTTTTCTTACCCCCTCCCTCCTTCCTTCAGTACTCTGAAAGGTGGAGTCCCTTTCAGGGAGCACTCGGCTGCCAAAGTTTCCACCACTCCAGCCTGCTCTGATCCAAGCCAGCACTCCGTAAGTATAGCTACATAGCTGACAATTTCATAACAAGGTGTGAAGAGGCCACAAAGATCCCTTCGCCTCTATAAAGAGGGGTGTTGGCCTAAATAAATCTCACTGTGAGAGGAAAGTTTCTTTAAAATTTGAATTTGAGAAGGTTCTAAGGCCTCTAGACTCTTTCCAGGAGTAATTGTTCTCCTTCCCTTACTCTGTATCTCTCAAACTTCCTCCTTCCTGATCTTTGTAGTAAGTCAGTCAGCCTGAGACTTAAACTATGAGGCACTACTTGGCATGAATCCTACATAAGTTTTACTGAAAAAGTAAGTACTCAAAAGATGCAATCCATCAGTCAGAGGATGCAGTGGCTTTCTTCTACTACTTCAAATAATTAGGAAAATTAAAATAGGACAACCAGGGACTATGTGTTTGTTTGCAATTGTGAAAGTTATAATCCACGTCACCTATAAAATGAAGTATTACAAGTATTACAAGAATGGAAAAATAAGCACCACATGTACTCAGCATCAAATTGGTATTAACTGATCAACACATAAGTGCACATATAGTAGTAACATTCATCGGGCATCAGGCAGATGGGAGGGGGGACGGGATGGGTATATTCACACTTAATGGGCATAGTGCACACTGCCTGAGGGATGGACATGCTTGAAGCTCTGACTCAGGTGGGACAAAGGCACTATATGTAACCTAAATATTTGTACCCCTGTAATATGCTGAAATTAAAGATAAATAAATAAATGAAAAAATTTTTAAAAAGTTCCATTTATAGAAAGGCCCATTTACAAAAATCTGATTAGCTTTGCCTGAATATAAAGGAAGATTTAGAAGTTTCCTTGAAGTGTGAGCTGTGTACCCACCATATCCAGACTTACTTTGGGTGCTGATTCCAGGGGCTCCTTTTATAGCTACTGAAAAAAATCTGGGGAATGTGACCTAGGGACCTGTACTTTCAGTAAGCTCCCCAGATAATTCTTATGCACATTGATGTACTAGGAGAATTCAAACTTACCAGGGCTTCAATTTGATGCATGCTAGATAAGTAGGGGTGACCATACTATTTTTTATCCAAACTTTGGGGAGTGTAAAGAAGTCCAGCATTAATATCACTGGACTGAAATGAAGGTGTCAGCAAGGCTATGTTTCCTCTGAAGGCCACAGGAGAGAATCAGTTCCTTACTTCTTCCAGCTTCTGGTGGCTGTCAACATCCCTTGGCTTGTGGCGTACCATTTAACGCCAGCATCTTCAAATCTCTCTGCCCTCCTTCTTTACATCACCCACATTTCTCTGTCCATGTCTAATCACCCTCTGCCTTACTCTTACAAGGACATATGCGGTTACATTCAGGACCCAGACAGACAATCCAGAATAGTCTCCATATCTTAGGATTCTTAACTTAATCACATCTTCAAAGACCTTTTCTTCAAATAAGGGAACATTTACAGCTTCCAGAGATGAAGACCTGATATCTCTGGGGCCATTATCAGCCCAGCACTATATTCAGCAAACTTTTGGGGGTGGTGAGAACAGATATGCACCATGACTTTCATTTCAGTTGAGGAAGTCATGGTTCTGAGAGTTTAAATGACTCATACAAGATCAGAAGCCTGTTCTGTGGCAGACAAGAGACTAGAAATGCTGTGAAATTCCCTGTCAGCTGTGTTGTTTCTTCAAGAGGGCCTGGAGGACAGACGGCGTGTGGCCCGTCTCCTTGTCTCCCTGTGTACCATAAGATAGTGTGCTTCCAAGCATAATACAAAAATAGATTCCTGGAGTTGACTTATGGATGGGAATCTTAGCCTGTGTAGGACTTTCCTGGCAACATTAGGAACCAGGAGAAACCTTGGTGTGGAAATCTGGGTCCAACTGTGCCATTATGAGTTGTATGAGGTTGGACAAATTTCTATGACTTCCTGCTCCTCAGATTGCTTGTGTTTAAGACAAGGGGATTGGGCAAGAAGATAATATGCTAAAACATAGATACTATTTTTGAATGCCCACAGTGTTCTAAGGATATCTATACCAGGCTAAGGATATCTAACAACCTGGCTTACATTATTTCTTGTACTTTCCCCAAGCAACCTAACGAGAGAGGGATAATTCTTGTTCCCATTTTACTGACAAGACTTGGAGAGATTGTGCAATTTGACCAAGGCCACATTGTAAGAATGTGGTGGACCCAAATGTGTGATACAGTTCTGTTTGACTCCAAAGTCCTCCCCCGACTTGCCTTCTGATTCTCTCCATGCTGCTCGTAAGAATAGCACTGTGACATCACGATGCCAGCATGGCTTGAAGGTCTAGATCACATACCTAACAGGCCAAATTTCACGTGACATGACCCACTTGTCTCTACTGTTTTCTAAGGGACAGTCCCAGATGCAGGTTAGTTTTTGTTTTGGATGTTATGTGAGAGAGATGTGACCTTGAGCAACTTCCCAGGGCAGCCGACTGGTCTGCTGACCATGTGGAATAGCTTTGTGATGCGTGTCAATCAGTCTGGGTTCTCACACTTTATTTTGTTTCTGTTTCTAGCCTACAGCAAAGTCATAGCCCCTGCCCAGCATGGAGGCCTCAAGTGACCCTGTGATACTGAGAGTATCTGGTACATCTAAGCGTGCACATAGTTGAGAATGCATTTAGAATGAAGTTGTTGTTCTTTAATCCCTAAAGGAGAACAACTGAAAATTCAGAGATCTGGGAATGTTCTGTCTTCTGTGGAGAGACATACTTCTCCCTCTCTGGGTTTCAAGATTAACCCACTGCCCTTATTATCCAGCTTCCAGGCTTTCGTTCGGAATTCATTAACCATGAGTTGTTGCCCCGTCTCCATGGTGCCTGTGTCTGGTGTGCTTTTGCAGACTGCCTGAACAGTGCTATGGAAATGAAGGTGAAGAACCACTGCTGCTAGTCAGTCCCATGACATTCCCTGGTCCCTTAAAAGTGGTGGATCCTGCCAAATTCCTTTCCATTAATTATGATAACAATAATAAGAAAAGCTTCTTTTGGGGTCTCCTCTCCACCTTTACAATACAGCTTTCTCTCCTGTACTCCCCTGAGGATATTTTCTACTTAATGAGATGCAGTAATACATATTCTTCCTTGCTGTTTCTCTTTTGGCTGAATGTGCTTTTTGTACCTACAAAGGCCCCCAGTTTTGGTCCTGAATGCCAGAAAGGAATCCTTAAAGAAGAAGGAAACACAATGCTGAGGATGAAATTGTGAACTCTGTGAACTTTGAGAAAAAAATATTTTCTTCATTTAGCTTTTATTGTTGGTGTACTATGTGCTATGGTAGATTTCTGAGGACATAAAGACAAATCAGCGTATGCCAATGAGGAGGTGAGTCATGTGCAGAAGACTTAGGAGTACACCAATGCTGTGTGAACGGTGTCAGACACACAGACAGAGGGGTGGTCACCCCTATGGGACCAGGAGAGTGTGGAAGGAGGGCCACTAAGCCTGCTGGAGGATGGGAGGACAAAGGGAGTGCGTTTCCAGAGATCAGCTGAGTTGGTTCTTAAAGAGTAGACTTGCATAAGTATTGGGTGGAAATCTGTGGAAGAAGGGGAGGAGAGACAATGGAGAAAGGAGAGAAGATACAAAGCATGGTGGGATAAAAGTAACACCATTTACAAAGAAATGGAGGCCAGAGATTTCTTTGACATACAAGAGCACATGCAAAGTAACACATGAAGGAGAGGATGAAGATTTTAGCTAATATTACAGAGGACCAATTGAATACCTTTTCATATAATAACATTATCTCGCAACTGTTGGTTAAATAAATAACTCTGGTGATACTAATGTAACTACATAAAACTCTACACCCAACACGGCAAGTCATTTTTTCAAGGCTTTATAGCAACCTAATAAGTGAAGGATCTGGGATTTTCATTCCACTCTTCTGGCTTCTGGTCTGGGCATTTTGCAGCTGCATTGCATGCATTCGCAGAAGCCCTTGTTAGGCATCATTTTTTTTTAAAGGAAGGCCAAGTAGCACTACATAAATTAGCCATCACAGTCTCCAGGTCTTTGAGGAGACCTCTGTAATATGTGTGGGTGTGACTATGAAATCAAGAAAGAAAAAAAGTGGTTCTTTAAAGGAGGTCATCGGATGAGTTAAAAAGAGAAACCAAGGAGGAAGAATGTTAAGCAAGGATGAAGAAAAGAGGAAAGTAATTAGAGCTCAGTGAGCTAAAGACACAATTTAAAGACTTCTCAGAAAGGAGCCAAGGTGGAAATGAAAGAAATTAGATCACAAGGTTTCTAAAGGCTGGTAAAAGCTTTAGGGTAAATCAAAGGACTGTTACCAATTCAACAGAATTTTATATTATTTTAGGAAATCGAATAACATTCCATTAGCTGGAAAGCCCAAGATCAAGAAAAAAGCTGAAACAGGGCAGATTCTGGAAGATATATATATATATATATATATATATATGTATATATAATCTCCAAGGGTTTTGACCTAGCAACACATTGATGCTAGAAGGGTCTCAAAGATCATCTCCTATGATTTCCTCACTTCACAGCTGAGGAAACTGAGGCCAGAGAGATGGTGTTAATTCTACATGTGATTAAATCTACTGCAAAGCAGGGATTTGATTGTAAACTTCCAAAATCCAATTCAATGACCTTTGCCAAGAATGTGAATTTCAAATCAGAGCATGGGTTTGCTAAACTACCCACAGGCCAGTTGTGGAGCATAGGGTATAGAATTCAGGACCTGAATTGCAGAGAACAGTCGGGAGAGTAAGAGAAGTATGACGTGAAAAAGCAAACACCAGGAGGAAATGACATAATAGAAGATTGGGAGACCAGGAAAGTTCAAGTGGTGGTCAGGAGGTGCTGGAGGAACAAGAGGCAAGAAAAGGTACCAAAACATTGTCAGTACATGTATCAGAAAGACAGCTTAGTTTTATGGAGAGTGAGTCCTCATTTATGTTTTTGTTAAAACCTTTTTTAAATGGTTAAAAGGTATATAGGAAAGGCAGCATGGTATCACAAGGTGGGTATGGGCTTCAACCCGTAGCCATCCTGACTTGAAATCCTTACTCTGTGTCAGGGTTCAGTCAAGAAAACATGAGCCACCAAGTCATTTTGACAGAGAATTTACTTTAGGAAAGCCTGTTAGGTAATTATTGAAAGATGGAAAGACTAAAGGGGAATGCTGAGGAAACACAAAGCTGCAGGAAGCAGGCACAATCCCAGGGGATAGGAGAGCCAAAGGAAAAGGTTGAGGTTTTAGAACTTAGAAGCTTGAAAGAGCAGCCCTCACAGAGACTTCTGAGGAGGGGACTGCTTAGCTGGCGCCACGGGGCTCAGAGCAGGAGCCCTGCAAAGCTGGGACTCAGACCAAAGAAAAGAGAGTGCCCCCTGGGTGGTTCTGATATTGGTAAGGGGATGCAATGAGGCTGGTTTTATTTATTTATTTATTGAGACACAGTCTTGCTCTGTTGCCTGGGCTAGAATGCCGTGGTGAAGTGGAAACCTTCGGGTGGCAGGACGCGGCGGTTCGCTGCCTCCCGGCCGTTCCGCATCCAGGCGGGCCAGTGCTGTGCGGGGTGGGCTGGAGGCCGTGGGGGTGCACGCTACTGGGGCCAGGCCTCACGTCCCTGTGGGGCAGTGCTGTGCCAACGCCCATGTCTGCTGTCAAGGTGCCGTGTGTGCTTGGCAGACTCCTGTCATCCAGCGTGCTGCTTGCATGATCCTGATTGGGTAATTTTTGAATCCCACTGTTGTTGATTGGATGTTAAAGCTTGTTGCTGATTGGATGTTAAAGCTTGATGCTGATTGGATGTTAAAGTTTGTAGTTGATTGGACGCTTTTTGAGCCCTACCAACGGTATAAAAGCAGGAGGAGAACAAGGAAGGGGGTGGTGTCAGCAAATTGGAAGAAAGGAAGAGAGCTGTAACACTAGGTCTGGTGATCCTGCTGTGGGGGAATAAAGACTGTTGTCTGACTCTTTGTGTGTGCTGCTCAGTTCTTTCTCCGTTCAAGACCTGTAACACTAGCTGTACATGTCACCATAATGGTGGCATCAGACTAGCTCACAGCAACGTCAAACTTTTGGGCTCAAGGTTTCGTCCTGTCTCATGGCTTGGTCTTGAACTCCTGATCTCAAGTGATCCTCCTACCACAGCCTCCCAGAGTGCTAGGATTACAGGCGTGAGCCACCGCACCTGGCCTAATGAGGCTGGTTTTAGGAGTGAAGGAAAAGAAAACACAGATATTGGAAGCAATTGCCGCTGGTAGGAGGAAGAGTTGTTGGGGAGGTACTGCTGGGAATCGTGGACACAGGCAGGAGCATGGACAACCCCCTTCTTCAGCCTCCTGGATTCTTGCTAGAGTCCCCTAATGGCATTACTTAACAGCCAGCCAGTCAGAAATGGAAAAATAAGGTTTGTAGAGTCTCAGTCCACATTTTAAAAAGCAAAATAGAGAAGGGTAGATTTGTGACTGAAAGACTGTAGCTTCAATCAATACAGCCTCATGTTGACACTGTGATTTCCCATCTCCATAGACCTCTAAACCTGGAAACTAATCAACTCTCCCTTGACTGGATAACCTCTTTCAATTCTGATCCTTTTCTCTGTTCCCTTTTATGGCAAAACTCAAAACAGTTGTCTGGATTCAGTGTTTCATATCCCATTTTCTCTTGAACCTTTCCAATCAAGCTCACATGCCGAAGACTCCATGGAAAGTAGCCTTGTCAATTCCGATCATGGCCACGTTGATTTCCATGGTGCCAAATCTCATGGTCAATGCTCATCACTCATCTTACCATACCTCTCAGTATTGGTTAACAGAGTTGGTTACCTCTTGTTCTAGGAACAATTTATTCACTTAGTTTCCAGGACCCATGCATTCTTTTGGTTTTCCTCCTCCTTCACAATTGCTCCTGCTCAGTCTTTTTGCTGGATCTTCATCGTCTTCTTAACTGTAGATTTTGAATGCTCCAGAGAGTAGTCCTCAGGTTCCTCTTCTATTCTTCCCTGGATCTATGACAACAGCCAATCTCAGAGGGACCTCCCAGATTTACATCTCTAGCCCAGTCTTCTTCACTGAGTACCAACTCATATATCCAGCTCCTTACTTGACATTTCAACTGTGACATTTAATAGGAAATTTAAATTTAACAAGTCCTCAAAACAGACACTTGAACCCCCCAACAAACCTCATCTCTGTAAATCATATCGTTATACATTCAGATAATCCAAAAACCTAGTTTTATCACTAAATTCTCTTTCTCTCTTTCTCTCTGAAGGTGGGGAACCTGTGTCCTTGGGGCCACATGTGGCCTTCTGGATCCTTGAGTGTGGCCTTTTGACTGAATTCAAATTTTACAGAACAAATCCCTTTATTAAAAGGGATTTGAAGTTTGATTTAACATATCATCATTGTTAAGGGTAAAGTTTGAATCTTTAGTCCAGAAAAATCCCACTAGACCTGAGCGGTGTGGAAGTTACTTTTAATCTGCAAGTTACATTAAATTGAGCTCTGTATTCTTGGAGAGAACACTCAGACACTCTGGAATTTGAGCTATTTATATTTTATTTTAAGTAAACAATTTGGATATGAGCTTTGAGAGGTTAGAGAAAATTTCTTCTGACAGAAGACTTACAAATATCTTGGCTACTAGAGCAATCTCCACTCACCTGTATACTGTAAACTTTTCTTTAAAGCTTCTGTTTAACCTTCTCTTCCAATGTCCTTAAAGCAGTACTCAGATATTTGTCTCTAATCTGAGAAAGAATATCTTCATCTTCATTATCTATAAAATGGGATGAGAAATGAGTTTTAATGTGACAAGATGCTATTAGACCGAGGGTGGAACTTGGCACTTTCTGCTGCTATCTAAGGTATCAGATAAGCTTCCCAAGGGCATTCCACACTGAATTACGCTTCTAGACTCCCAGGCAAACTGGCCCGTGACTGTACTCCTGTCCTAATGGAGGTAACAGACTGTGGTAAGATGCAGGGTTGAAAACGAGACAATGGAACAGGATAAGAAAATGCAATTAGTTCTTGATACGACTACAGATGTGAACTTTTAAAATAGGGCTAAATTTTGGCTTGTGAACCATAATCAGAGCAATGCCAATCAGTTCCCATTAAGAAATCTGTAGCAAACAACTACTTTTAAGTTCCTCAGATTAAAAACCACCCTAAAAAATATGAAGGATTCATCTATGAATAACTTTGTGTTTCAAACACTTCTTGTGTGCCATCCAGGCAACTATGCTGGATTCTTTCCAGTATAGTATTGAAATACTTTCAATCTCTCAACAGCTAGAGGAGAAACAATTTAGTTGATATTTTAATTACCATCACCCTTATTTGGGTAGATGAAAATGTCACTTTGACAAGTCCCTTGAAAAAACAGTCTGAGATTGAATATAGTTATTTTGAAAGTCTCTGGAGAAATTTTGTTTGATTTTACTTCTTGGATATTTTAATCTTTCCTTTTTTTTTTTTTTTTCAAGCACCAGCAGTGGCTCCCTATTGCTCCTTAAGTTAGGTACAAGTGGCTTCGACTACTGCCAATTGCTCAGCCAATCTCCCTGATCTAATTGCCATTATAACGTGACATTATAATTGGTTTTTTACCTTAACTTGCTTCTTACTTCCCTCCAAACTAATTACAAAATTATAGCTGCACCGTGTTTTTGAAAGGCCATCTAATTCACCCCCTTATTTTCAGATAAAGACAGGCTGAGATAGGCTGGGTCAGATGGCTTGTTACTGACAGAGCTGGGCTTAGGCTCAGGTCGCCTTATCCTCCACCTAGGTGTCTTTCTTCCAGACACTGTGGCTCCCTGACTATTTCATCTTCACCTCTGTGCCACAGATCAAGAATGGCACTACCCCAAATGCTACCTGCTTTCCTTTTACACTTTATGTTTCCCCATCAATCTGTGAACATCGCCTCAAAACTCAGTTCCTTTAGAACACTTGCCCTGTAATCCAGGTGGGTCTAACCTGCCCTCATCCAGTGTCAAAATTCTCTCCCCAGATCCCACTAGCCCTCTGCCAGGCACACACTCATGAGTGAATTCAAGTCAAATTAACATGACTTTGGGTTTATTCCACTGTCTGATATTATTATGAGCCTTTTGGTTCTCTAGTCATAAACTCTATGATAGAGTTTTCCCCATCAATTCCCCTACCTTCTGTCCTGGTGCTAAACACAGTACTTTTTCACACAGACAGTAGTTCAATATCTATTGACAGAACAAAAGAAGGGTGGGGGGCAAATTGCCTTATCTTGTCTATATCTTGTTGCTCTTAGGAAAAATAGAATTTTTTTTCTGTTGGTTCAGTGCTTGCTCGAAGCTGATCACACAAGGCCAAACATATTCTATATAAATTCTTCTTGGCCTTGAAGCTGTGAAATGATTGAGAGGTATATTGTAAGTAAATTGTTACCTATAATAGTCACAGCTTTAAATTTGGAAATGATTTATATTATATATATTTTTTAAAGTAGAGGGCATTCAATGTTAACCCTATAATAACACCCTTGACACATTCTTGAGTGGTTATAAAGGGTGGATTCACAACTTTAGCCATTCTTTTTAAAGGTAACCTTGTATAACTCTGTTCTGCTATACCATAGTTTAATTTCTAGAGTCAGGTTTATTTCTCAAATTTTTACATTATTGGGGAGATATAGCGTGCCATGTGACAAGGGGTAAGACACACCTGTATATGCAGTGCGTTGTGTTACAGGAGAACAGTGAGGTTAAGAAACTGTAATTTTTTTATAATGAGTTGCAAGCAAACCTACCCAACCTTTTCCCCAAAGGAGACATTATCACTATAAAAACATCCTTAAAAAGATAGTCCAAAACAAAAGGCTGTCAGTACCTC